TGGGAAACTTATTCTCTGTCTGACTTATTGAACAATTCAGATCTATGTTTACACATTTGACTTCTCCATTATTTACTCCTGATTTACCAAACATATGTCAAACATAAGTGTAATTGTGTAAAGGTGTCCCTAAAGGATATTAAAAATGAGGGCTTTCAAGTTCTCAATGTTAATTTTGCTCCAAGAACAAATCATATATTAGCAGGATGGCCTAATTAGTGTTCAGTATAATTATTCCAGCTGTATACACCTGAAATGTCTATGCTGTTTAGCCTTAATTCCCTAAAAGAAAACTAACACAATTACGTGTGACAAGAAAGCACCAAAAGAAATTGTATGCCACTGCATCCTTTTGTTTAGGCCAAGACAAAAGTTTAAAATATTTCTTCAGTGACTGATTAGGAACTTTCTGCTGTTCTTGTTCTTGGTGGGAATGACTCTATAGAATTCCAAATTCAAATGTGTATAAAATGTAACATATGAAATGCATGCTCATACTGTTATGCTTGAATTGGAAATGTCCTTCACAGGCTTGTGTTTTGAATGACTGGTCCTTGGATAGTGGTGCTATTTTGAGAGGTTCTCAGGCCCTTGGGAAGGCAGCCTGGTTGGAGGAAGTGGGTTGATGGGGATGAGTCCTTGGGGCTGTATTAGCCCTACCTGATTCTTGTCTCACTCTCTGCTTTCTGGTGAAGAGTTCTCCTCTGCCAGGTACTTCTGCTGTCATGATGTTCTGCCCAAATACATGGGGCTAACTGAGCATGGACTGAACCCTCAGAAACCAGGAACCAAAACAAGTCTTCCCTGCTTTAAAATGTATCTATCAGGCGTTTTGTCACAGTGACAAAAGAAGTGACTAACGCAGAAAATTGGTACCACAGAGGTCATTGCTGGGACTAAATCAGACATATGACTCTTAGGCCTTTGGAACTGGTTTGTGGAAGGTATTTGGAAGAGTTTGTACATGTGGACTAGAAAACACCTCGAACATTGTAATCAGAGCTTAATGAATAATTCTGGTGGGAGAATAGATGACTGTGATTCCAATAGAAATGCGCACTGTAAAGTCTGCACTCATGAAGTTTCAAATGGAAACAAGGGCTCTGTTAAGAATTGGACTACAGGCCATTCACCTTATATTCTAGCAAAGAATTTGTCTATATTTTTTCATGTCCTAAACCTTTGTGGGAGGCAGAGTTTAAAGGTGGTGGAGCAATTAATTTGATAGAGGAAATTTTAGGACAGCACAACTTTGAGGTTGTGGCATGGTTATTGTTGGCCACTTTGAACTAGGTTTACAGTGAGCTTGAGAGCAAATAGCAAAGCAAAAGGAGTTGCAGCACTGTGACTCCAGAAAAAGAATCAGTTGAAAGCGTAAACAAGAAAGATGTGGCTACTAAAGGGATCACCAGTATTAACAAAGAAGCTAAGCACTTTGTGCTCAGAAAATAAATAAGATGCCCTGGAAGCACTTTAGGAACTGATCCGATCCCACCCAACACAGGCTCCAGTGTGTAAAATTGTAACTATATTCCAAAGATTTCCCTTGAAAAGACAGCCTCTAGGGAGCCCAGCTCACACAGGGACATCTAGGAATGTATTTTCCAGGGTTCAGCCCACACACACTCAGAGGCTACTACATCCAATGGCCTACGGAGTCCTAAATATTGCTTACGCCAATTGCCAGCCTTGGTGTCATCCACATGGTGGCGTTTTTGCAGACAGACAGAATGCAAGAGGAACAGGGTCACAGAGGCTTCCATCTACATTTTTAAGGAAGACTTTGAAGGTGACACAGAATGTATCCAGGGAAACTGGACACCCCTTTGGGTTCTGAGTCTCATTAATAAGAGAATTTAAGAAGAGACTCAAAAGGAAGTGCAAGGACAATTTTATTAGTTTAGAAGAAAAACAGGCAAATGGAAATCTCAGCATCTGACAGGAGGAAAGATGGAAAGAGGAAGAGAGAAAAACATGCTCTTTATAACACCAGCCACATGGCAAGGTGGCGGCGTGTGGAGAACTTCAGAGAAAGAATGAGGAAGCCCAAAGTGTCTCAGAAGTTGTGTCCAGGCTCTGGCCAGAATCCAAAAGAAAGGGGACAAAAGGAAAAGGGAAAAGTTGCACTTTGAGTAATTCAGAAAAGCAGGCAGGTCCCTCTGGTGGCCACTCGGCGAGGGACTGCACTATGGTGTTAGAAACTGTTAGATCAGGATTGACCCAGGGCAACACGAAAATGAAAGATGAGACTGACCTTAGGAGCGGGTTGTTCATTATTAAGAACAATGCAGATGACGACAGTTCCTCCGCAGGATTTGAAACTGCACTGTCAGGCACAGTTGGTGGGCTGCTTATAAGGGGTAGGAGTTGAGAAAGAGGAAGTGGGTAGGACTAGTGCCAAGTTGAGTCGGTGTGGAGGTTTTGAGGCAATGAGGACTGTTATCCGTTTTCCCAGATAACAGTCTCCAGGTTAGAGGTTTTACACAGTTCCTAGGTTGGAAATTAGCTCAAATCTGAGGTTTGCCTAAGGTATACTCAACCCAGTATGGGGCCCTTTAGAAGTTAACTCAGGGTCATTTTAAGTCCAGGCATTTAGCCTTCATAAGTGACAGGGTTTCTGAGCAGAAAAAATACATTATCTCATTAAAGGGCTAATTGTTCCTCCCATCACTTCAGCATGGCTTGAGGAGTCAGCCTTCCTGAGGGGTACTCTCTTGGCCAGGTGATTGAGAGGCCCAGCTGCAGTAACTCTCAAGGGAGGAAACCATGGTATACAAGGTTCCAATCTTTAGAGCACTTAAGAATGGCATATCTCTGCTCAAGGCCAGCGATAGACTCCACTCTTGTGACCAGGAGAAAATAGTTTTCCCTTACTGGCTCAACAGAGCTCTGGCTACTCTAGCACTCTCCCATCTAAAGATAACCCTAAAATAATTTATGAAATGGGCTGAAAATTGAGGAACAGATAAAACCCATTTTCACCAAGAAAATCTAGAGATCCAATTCTAAAGCTGTTCATCAGAAGGGATTAGCGTCTGGACTGGAGTTTTGGTCACACCCTCACACAGAGCCTCCAGGCAAGGATGCTGGTTTAGAAAGAGAAAAGAGATCAGAGCTCCTTTCTGCCATTCCCAGCCTGAGAACCAAGAGCATTTCCTGCTTCTGGCCAAGTACAATGACGGAACGATGCACTTACCCTGCACCTAAACTGCCAAGTCAATTTCTATCTCCTGTCCTCATCAACATGGTCAGAGTCCTTGCAGGGGAGCCCTAAAAGGATGACATGTAAAGTTGTGAAGGTGAAGACTCCAGGCCATTGAAGATGCCAGGAATACAGACTATCTGCTAGAGAAAACCGTAGGCAACGAGTGGAACCCAAGAGAGCAGCAGTGAGAGTTGAAATGGCAAAGCCATGGGCGTGGGGCTGCCCCAGCCTGCTGGAGCTCATGTCAGAACACCACATGCTCTCATGCCTGCCACAGAGCCAAGGGTCTAATGTTTTCTTTGCTGAGTTTCAGTCTTGCTTTGGACCCATCCTCCCTTGCTGTTCATCTGCCCCTCCCTTTTGGAATGTGTTTGCTTTCACCATGTTTATTGGGACTATGTAGTGTTTCGTTTTGGTTTGTTCATTTTAAAGGGTATCACAGCTAAGAGTTGCCGTGTCAGGTGAAGACTGAATTTGGACTTTTGAACAATGCTGGTGCCACTAAGACTGTTAACCCTTGGTCCTCAGCTAGTGGTGCTGTTTTGGAAGGCTCTGGAAGCTTTGGGTGGTAAGACTGAGATAAAGGTCAGGGACGGTGGGCCTAGGGGTTGTATTATCCCTGACTGGTTCCTGTTTACTCTCATTCACAAAGTAAACAAGACTCCTCTGCCATGGCATTCTGTCCAGTACATGTGGTCAAATGATCATGAACAGAACCCTATAAAATCTTAAACCAAAATAGATCTTTCCTCCTGCGTTCTTCTCTATGACGTTTTGGTCACCGATGCTAAAAGTAACTAATATAAATATCAACTGAAATTCCTGACAATAACCTATTTCTTCATCCAGGAAACATGAGTGAGAATTGATGCAAAGGAAGAACATTGTATTGCCAAGATCAAGCTTAATATTTTATATATCCACGAAGATGAAGCCTTTCTGATCTGCTAAGTAAGTGTTCAGCACCTTAGGGAAATAATTCTGAAGCATTCTTTCATTCTATTAACTGAGGAGTAGAATTACCTGCTAGGTGGATGTTTTAGTTTATTTTCTGTTGCTGTGATAAAACGGAACAAAACCAACTTGGGGAGGAAAAGGCTTATTTCATCTTACGACTCCCAGGTCATAATCCATCAGTGAGGTAAGTCGGGACAGGGATTCAAGGCAGGAACCTGGAGGCAGGAACTGAAACAGAAACCACAGAGAACGCTGCTTACTGGCTTGCTTCACCTGGCTTGATCAGCTATCTCTCCTGTACAGCCCAGGCCCACCTGCCTAGGGATGGCCCTGTACTCCTACATCAAGTAGCAGTTAAGAAAATGCCTCCTAGACGTGACCACAGACCAATCTGGTGGAAGAAATTCCTCAGCTGAGGTTCCCTCTTCCCAGGTTAACAAAAATGAACCAGTAGCTCTCTGCTCCTCTCGATTCTAGAGACAGCTACGTCTTCTTAATTAGTGCCAGCCTGGTCCCTAAGACATGATGGTGAAGGTCAGAGTGAACAGATTTGGCCATATTGGGTGCCTGGTCACCAGGGCAGTCTTTCCCTCTGGCAAAGTGGACATTGTTGACATCAGTGCTGTCATTGACCACAACTACATGGTCTCCATGTTCCAGTATGATTCCACCCACGGCATGTTCAACAGTACAAGTCAAGCCTGAGAATGGGAAATATGTCATCAATAGGAAGGCCATCTCCATCTTCCAAGAGCAAGATCCTGCCAACATCAAATGGGGTGATGCTGGTGCCAAGTATGGTGTGGAATCTACCGGGGTCTTTACTAATGTGTCTGTCATGGACCTGACCTGCTGTCTGGAGAAAGCTGCTAAATATGATGATATCAAGGAGGTGGTGAAGCAAGCATCCGAGGGCCCTCTAAAGGGCATCCTGGGCTATAGTGAGGATCAGGTCATCTCCTGTGACTTTGACAGTGAAACCCACTCTTCTACCTTTGATGCCGGGGCTGACATGGCCTTCAACAACCACTTTGTCAAGCTCATTTCCTGGTATGACAATTAATTTGGCTACAGCAACAGGGTGGTGGACCTCGTGGTTCACATGGCCTCGGAGGATAAGAAACCCTGAGCCACTCACCCCAGCAAGAGAAAGAGAGAGGCCCTAGGCTGGGGGGCGTTCCCTGCCCCAACTCAGCCCCAATACACTGAGTATCTCCCTTCACAGTTTCTATCCTAGACCCCCAGAAGAAGAGGAGAGGCTTAGGGAGTCCCACTTTCTTGAATACCATCAATAAAATTCACTGCACCTCACCCCCACAAAAAAAAAATACAGTGAGTATTTGACCGCCAGCTCCCCTTCCAAACCAAGAGATCTGTATAAAAAAATAATATCTGATTATGCTTATGCAGGGACCACATAGTGAGGGACCCAAGGGTTGTGCTTTAAATATCTCTTAAGAGGAAAAGCCCATATTAGAAAAAACTCATTCATCATTAGGTTCAATATAAGGTAACTTTTTTATAGTCTTGTTAAATTGTGCTTGGAGTTTTCTAGATCCTCTGAATTCTAGTCAATAAAATAACAGAGTAAATTAATTTCATGAATCAAAAAAATGAACATTTTTGCCTAAGCCCTCCTCTATGAGCAAATATGGCGTAATTTTATTGTGGAAATGCCTGGTCACCCATGCATTTTCCCTGACTTTGTCGGGAACTTTACCAGCTATGACTGCTGTAAATAAATGTCTTGAATGCTATTCAGTAGCCCAGTGCTTGACTGATCAGGTCCTCTGAGCAAAGTTATCTAACTTCAGCAGGACTCTGCTGATAATGGACGAGTCTTTCTGCTTTGACTGTTGAACCTTCCACTCCTGTTCTGGGTACCAATCTCTTCACCTCCACGTGTTCTTTGCCTGTGACCCTCCCAGTAAACAGTGACTTCAGGCACTACCAGCGCCTACTCAAAATCCATTATGCCACGCTCTTTACTGGCAATTACTCTCTACATTCAGGTTAACTTTTTTAACATGTGAAAAAGAATAAGCAATACTTATCTTTCTGTGCCTAGCTTATCTCACTTAATGTGATGTCCTCCAGTCCCAACCATTTTGCTAAAAATGGCAGTTCTGTTCTACTCTATGACTGAAATGTGATGGAATATTATATATGTATGTTATAGAAGTTTTATTCGTTTATCCCTTGATGTGCCTTTCCATTGCTTCCATATCTTGGCTGTTCTGAATAGCGCTGCAATAAATGGCTGTGTAGATATTTCTCTAATCTGCTGATTTCATGTCCTTTGGTATTTATCCACAAGTGAGCTATCTGGGTCACATATCAGATCTGTTTTTGATTCTTTGAGGACCCTCCAGTCAGTTCTCCATAATGGCGATACTAATGCACACTCCCACCAACACTGCATGAGAATTCCTTTCTTTCCACATTTGTCAGAATTTCTTGTTTTAATTTTTTATACTAGCTATTCTAAGGTAGAATAGCTTGTGGTTTACATTTCCCTGATGGCAAACAGTATTGAATGTTTTTCATATGTTGGTTAGCCATTCGTATTTCTTCTTTTGAAAAGTATCTAGACAAATCATTTGTCTATTTTCAATTGGATGATGTGTTGTTTCTGTTGTTGCAAAGGGGTTTTCTTTAGTACTTTATATATTATGAATATCAATCCTTTGTCAGACAGATAGTTGGCAAATATTTTCTCTAGTCCATAGGCTGTCTCTTCTCTATTAGCAAATGATGTGACACTGTATGTGGAAGACAGAAGACTCAATTGAAAGTCTATTAGAGCTGGTAAACAAGTTCAGGGATTGTTCTGGATATAAGATAGACATATAAAAATGAACAGCATTTTAAAAAATATTTTTACTTATTATTTTTATTTTATGTGTATGCATGTATTGCCTGCATGTGGGTAATGCACCCATATCAATGCAATGCCCACGGAGGTCAGAAGAAGGCACTGGATCCCCTGGACCTGGAGCTACAGACAGTTGCGAGCTGCCATGTGGGTTCTAGGAATTGAACCCAGGTCCTCTGCAAGAGCAACCAGTGCTCTTAACTGCTGAGCCATCTCTCCAGCATTTTAAAACAACTGTTTTTTACATTTATTGACTTATTTTGTGTCTCTGTACATGTGTAGTGGGTGAGCACATGCCACCATTGTGGATGCGAAAGTCAGAGGACAATTTGCAGGAGTTGCTTCTGTCCTTCTACCATGTGGGTTCTGGGAATCAAACTCAAGTTCTCAGGCTTAGCAGTTGAGAACTTTACCCACTGAATCATCTCACCAGGCCCTGAATAGCATGGTAATACACTGATGATGAGATTATTGAGAGAGAAGTCAACCCAGTTTTAAAAAGCTTTTAAAATAATAATATACTTAGAAAGAAATTTAAACAAAGAAGTAAAAAAAAAAAAAACCTGAGGGGTTGGAGAAATGGCCCACTGTTAAGAGCACTTGTTGCTCTTGCAGAGGACCCAGGTTCAGTTCCCAGAACCCACATCAGGCAGCTCACAACTGTTTACAACTTTACAAATTGGAACCCCAGTTCAAGGGGATCCAGCGCCTTCTGGCTTCACAGGGTGCATATGTCCACACACTTACACATACAGAAGTTTTTTAATATTTTATTATTTTTATTTTATGTGTACAAGTGTTTTGCCTGCATGTATGTCGGCGCACCCGTGTTGTCAGTGCCACAGAAGTCAGAAGAGAGTGTTGAATTCCCCTGAAACTGGAGTTAAGTACAGTTCTTAGCCACCATGTTAGTGCTAGGAATCAAACCCGGGTCCTCTGTAAGAACAGTCAATGCTCTTAACCGCTGAGCCGTCTCTCCAGCCCCAGATACAATTTTTTTTTAATATTTTAACTTGTAATGAAAATTACAAAACACTAATGAAAAATTGCAGAGCATACACACACACACACACACAAATAGAAAGACCATGCGTGTTCATGGATTGGATGAATTAATATTGTTAAAGTGCCCATATTTCCCAAAACAATTTATAGATTCAATGCAACCCCAATGAAAATATCATGACATTCTTCGTAGAAATAGAAAAAATAACACTAAAATTCATATGGGAACACAGAAGACACTAAATAGACAAATTAAACTTGAACAAAAATAAGACAAAAGATAGCATAATACCTGACTTCAAACATATTGCATAGCCACAGTAACAAAGACAGCCTGGCATTGGCATAAAACAGATAAATAGACCACTGGGACGAAAGAATAACCCTAGAAATAAGCCTGCACATCTACAGCCAGCTGGTTCAAAGGTACCAAAAACATACCCTGGAGAAAGGATGGCCTCTCAACAAGCAGTGCCGGAAAACAAAAGAAAAAATAGAAAAACAAGATGAAAACTAGGAAGCTTCTGCAAGCAGAGGACGTTCTCACCAGTGGGCATGTTTCTTCACACAGAAGATGCTCTCTCTGTCTCTGTCTCTCTCTTTCTCTCGCTCTCTGTCTCTCCTTTCCTTCTTCCTTTCCTTCCTCCTTCCCTTCCTCCTTTCATCCCCCTCCTCTCTCCCTCCTCTCTCCTTATATCTATTACAGCGATAAGGGCATTAACCACAGACATAGCACCATACAGCATGCCTCTGGAACATACTCATCTCAAATAATGGAAACTCTACACTCATTGGCTGGCAACTCTCCATTTCCTCCTCCTAGCCCTCAGCAATCACTGCTGTACATCTATTTCTATGAGTATAACTACTTTAGTAGCCCCATGTAAGTACAATTGTGTAGCATGTGTCCTTCTATGACTGTTTCACAGAGCATGATGTCCTCCAGCTCCATCTACACTGTCACATAGTGCAGGGTTTCATTCTTTTGAAGGCTGAATAGCATTACATTTTGTGTCTATACCATACTTTCCTTATCCATTAATCTGTTGATAGACATTTAAGCTGTTTCTGTTCCTTGATCATGGTGAATAATCCTGTATATATATGACATTTAACTCATGAGATTACCAAATCATATGTAATTTCTATTCTAATTTTTTGAGGAAACAAATATATATATATGTATGTATATTATATATATATACACTATTCCTGTTCTAATTTTCTGAGGAAATAAATATCTGCCACACTGTTTTTACATAGTGGATGTCCTGTTTTTCATTCCCATCAACAGAGCATAAGTGTTCCAATTTCATCACATCCTCCCTAACACTTTTATCTTTTGTTTATTAGTGAACATCCAGCCTGATAGAGATGCAGTGATTTTTACTGTGGCTTGATTTGAACTTCTTTCAAGCAATATTTATTCAGGACAGCCCCCACACACATACACACACACTTTTTTTTACGATTATTTGGGTTTTGCTCTTCGGGTTTTTTTTTCATTTTTTGTTTAGTCTTTACACTTGAGTTGTAAAAGTTCTTTATTTGGGGATATTAATACCTTATTAGATACGTGCTTTGTAAATATCTTCTCCTATTCTGTATGTTGGTATTGACTCTATTGGTTATTTTTTTGTTTGTTTATTTTTGCTGTACAGAGCTTCTTAATTCACTATAGCCCTACTTCTTTAACTTTGCTTTTGCTGTTATATCCAAGGAAGAATTGACAAGCTCAATGTCAGGAAGCCATTTTGTTTTCTTCCAATGGCTGTTTAGTTCCCAGTCTTACATGTAAGTCTTTAATCTTGAATGTTTGTAGATGATGTGATATAAGATAAAATTTCATTTTTTATGTATAGATATCCAGTTGTCTCAATACCATTTCTTGAAGACTCTTTTTCCCACTGTTTTGTTGACCCCTTATTCAAACTCAACTGTGTATCTATATATTCATTTCTGAGGTATTTTGTCCCATTGGTCTATATGTCTGACCTTGAAGCTTCATCCCTGCTGGCTAGTTTTCATAGTGCTGGAAGGTGCTATGAAAACTACCAGAGAAGAAAAGTAATCTTCATTCTTACCCAGCCAAGAATCCTGTGAGCTACGTTAATAACTGGCCTGGCAAGATATGCTCACTGGTACCATAGTGGCATGAATGTTATGGGAGTAACCAAGTACCT